TTCTAAAAATTAAATTTTTATGTGCTTCCAAAGACTTCTCCAAAAGAGTCAAAAGAGAACCTACAGATTGGGAAACAATATTTGGCAATGACATATCTCACAAGGGACTTATCTCTAGAATGTATAGAAAATCCCAACACCTCAATAACACAAAGACAAATAATCCAATTAAAAAATGGGCAGAAGACATGAATAAACACTTCACCAAGGAGGATATTCAAGCAGCCAACAAACATATGAAGAAATGTTCATGATCATTAGCCATTAGAGAGCCAAATCAAAACAACAATGAAATACCATCTTGCCCCAGCACTAGTAACAAAATTCACAAGACAGAAAAGGGCAAATGCCGGCAGGGATGTGGAGAGATTGGGACTCTCTCATACACTGCTGGTAGAACTTTAAAATGGCACAACCACTATGGAATTAGAAATACCATCTGACCCAGTCATTCCATTACTATGTATATATCCTGAAGAAGTGAGAGCCAAGACAAGAACTGACATCTGCATACCCATTTTCATTGCAGCACTATTTACAATAGAAAATTATGGAAACAACCTAGGTGTCCATCAACTAAGGAATGGATAACCAAACTATGGTACATACACACAATGGAATACTATGCATCCCTAAAGAATAACAGAATCTGCAAAACACTGCATAACATGGATGAACTTGGAGGACATTATGCTGAGTGAAGTAAGTCCATCACAGAAGGACAAATACTGTATTAGTCCATTATTGTGAAAATCAAGGAATGGTTTATATATGGATGGAAATTTTCTTTGTTTGTTAGCAGGAGTGGGAGGGGAGGGGAGGGAACACTGTTAGATAAGTAGGGATAAGTACTGATTTGGGTGAAGAGAAGGGCAAAGTACCAAATGTGACTGATCAACATGGTGGCATTGAGGAAGAGGAAGACATAGAGAGGTACATGGGTGGTGCAGAGAAGAAAGATGAATGTTTTTGCACATACGGTACTGCATTGTCAGTGAAGGTTAACATGGGCATATGGGTGGATAGATGGGTGGATAGGTTGAACTATTAGGTATGTGAACTATTAGGTATGTCTATGCAGGGGAGAGGGAGCTCTGGTAGCATAGTGCCTAAGGCACTTGACTGCTAACCAGAAGGCTGGTGGTTCAAATGCACTAACCACTTCTCGGAAGGAAGATGGGGCAATCTACTTCCGTAGTGATACTGCCTTGGAAACCCAAGGAGGGGTCACTATGAGTCAGGTCCTACTCGATGGCATATAACAACAACAACAACAACATGCAGGGAAGAGTGTACCTACAAGCATGTATAGCATTGGCAGACAAGTGTATTCGTATGTTCCATAATTCCCAGGTATATAGGAGAGCTGACGAAGGACAAGGTTGTAGTCACTTCTTGGTCACAGCCAGCTACCCAGAGGGAATGAGTAGTTGAACCCGTGAGCTCAGGACCATAGACACAGGGGACATAAAACTCAATTGGCATAACACACTACACAAAACATTGTTTCACCTCCTACTTTGGTGAGTAGCGACTGGGATGTTAAAAGCTTTCAAGCAGCCATCTAGATTCATTGATAGGTCTCTCCTCATTCAGAGCAAAGAAGAACGAAGAAAACCAAAGATTCATGGAAACAATTAGTCCAAGCAACTGATACACCATGTGAGCCACAGCCTATTCGACTATGAGACTGGAAGAACTAGATGGTGTCTGGCTACCAATGTCAAGCACTCAGAGGGGGAACTATGTAGGAGATCCTGGCTAGAGAGGGAGCACAATGTGGTCAAAACTCAAAATCATTTGGGAAAAAAAAAAAGGGGGAGTGGTGGGAATTAGATTTGCTGGTCTGATAGAACCTGGTGGAACCACTGGACTATGGTCCCTAGCTGGTCTTCAGAAAAAAAAAAAAACTATAGAAAACTTCAAAACCTAAACATCAAAAAGACAAACAATCCAATTCAAAAGTGGACAAAAGATATGAACAGACAATTCACCAAAGAAGATATTCAGGAGGCCAACAGACATTTGAAGAAATGCTCATGATATTTAGGCATTGTTGTTATGTGCAGTCAAGTCGGACCCGACTCATAGCAACCCCTCCTTGGGTTTCTGAGGCAGTATTACTACGGAAGTAGATTGCCCCATCTTCCTTCTGAGGAGTGACTGGTGCGCTTGAACTGCGAGCCTTCTGGTTAGCAGTCAAGTGCCTTAGGTACTATGCTACCAGAGCTCCCATTAGAGAGATGCAAACCATAACAACAATCAGGTATCATCTCACCCAGCAAAAATAGCAAAGTTCAACAAGACAGAAAATGACAAATGCTGGTCAGGATGTGGAAAGATTAGAACCCTCATGTTCTGCTGGAGGGAGTGTAAAATGGTAAAACCACTGTGGAAAATGGTATGGAACTCTCTTAAAAGGTAGGAAATAGACATACTGTTGTTGGATCCTGCAATTCCTTTGCTAGGTATATATCCTAAGGAAGCAAGAGCCAGGGTCCGATTAGATATGTGCACACCTATTTTCATCATAGCACTATTCACAATAACAAAGAGATGGAAACTGTCTTAGTGGCTATAAACAGAAGAATGGATAACCAAACTATGGTACATACACACAGTATTACAATTCAACACTAAAGAATAATGAAGAATTTGTAAAACATGCCATAACATAGATGAACTCGGAAGACAATATGCTGAGTGAAATAAGTCAATCACAGAAGGACAAATATTGTATGAGTCCACTATTATAAAAAGTCAAGGAAAAGTTTACATGGGGAAGGAAACTTTCTTTTTGGTAACCTGGGATGGGAGAGGAGGGAAGGAAAAACTGCTAGTTAGGTAAGACACATGTATTGATTTTGGGGAAGGGAAAGGCAATGTAATAAAAGTGGGTGACCAGCACAATATCACTAGGGAAAAGGAAGACATGGAGAGATGCATAAGAAGTACAGACAACAAAGATAAATATTTTTCATACACAATACTGCATTATTAGTAATTGCAAACATTAATCCACAGGTAGATACATAGGTAGACAGGAAAGATAATAAGGTATGAGTAAGCAAACAGGGATATACCAATGACCATATACATATCTGGGAGACAATATTTCTATACATGTATTTGTGTGTGCTATAAAAATGTCCATATATATATATCAGAGTGAAGAGGGGGCAAAGTTATAATAACTTCTGAGCCATAACCAAACCTTGAGGGAGGGAGTGACTGGGCCTATAGACTTGGGCCATGGTTGCAGGGGACAGCAAGCCCAACTGGCCTAAAAAGCACACAAAAATATTGTTTTCCATCGTACTGTGGTGAGTAGCAACTAGGTTCTTAAAAGCTTGTGAATGGCCATCTAAGATGCAAATATTGGTGTCTCCTTGTCTGGAGTAAAGAAGTATGAAGAAAATCAAAGACATATGAAAACAATTAGTCCAAGGGACTAGTAGACCATGGGAATTTCAGTCTACATGAACCTGAGACCAGGAAAATTAGATGATGCTGGGCTACCACTGCCAACCACTCAGAATGCAATTAAAATTATAGGTCCTGGATAGCATGGGATTAAAATGTGGAACAAAACTCAAAATGATAAAACAGACCTGGCATACTGATCTGAAAGGGACTGGTGAGATCTCCAAGACTATGGCTCCTAGTCATCCTTCAGGCCTGGAACTGAACTCACTCTTGTGGCTTAACTTTCAGCCAAATAGACAGGCCTGCGAGGTGAACTACAACAGGGAGGCACACTCCTTACAACAATCAGTCATGGGAGATCAGAAGGGCAGCATCTGTGCAGGGAGAAAGCTCAGAAGGCAAGAATGCATAGGAAAGGGCACAGGGAAAGGGTAACCACAGGGAGGAAGTGGAAAGAGAGTGTTACATTGTGGGGATTGCAATCAATGTCAGGAAACAAAATGTATATAAATGGAAAATGAATTTGCTCTGTAAACTTTTCCCAAAACAAAATAAAAAGTTAATAAAGAGAAAAGGATATTTATAATATCTTCCATATCAAGACATTTTTTTAAAATGTGCATTGACATATGAATTAAATTAATATATGTAAAATACTTTAAATTATAGTTTGCAAGAGGTGATTTATTATGATTAAAACAGGAAATTCCATGTAGAATTTTTATTATGCTGAATAGATTTACCTTTTCTTTAACAATATCCATTTTTTAAAATATTTTTCAAATATATGTTTTAGATGACTTTGATGTTCAAACATTTATAAAAAGACTCCTTCTCACCTTATTTGGTTCTATTCATAGAGTTCATATTACTAAAGGACAGTGAGAATTTCCTGTTTTGTGATATCCGGATCATTTTAGAAGCTGGTAATTTTGCTGCTTCTGGTTCATATTACACATATGTGGCTCACCAATAGATGATTCAAGAACATCATTTAAATCTGCAGGTTTTCTTTCTCTGTTTCTTTTAATTTCTTCATATGCAACTTTCAAATTCCATAGCCTCCAGCTCAACTCTGTGATCCAGCATTGCTCTTCTCCAGAAAGCACTCATCTTACCTTCCTTGAATCAACCTTAGAACATAATTTCTCATGGCAGGTACGTGTACCTCAAAATTATGTGTGTGTGTGTGTGTGTGTGTGTGTGTATCCAGGAAAGATATCTCATGGACATGGCTAATATCAGGGCTGAGCTCTAAATATCAGGGATGAACTCTACAGGAAATAGGCAAAATTAACAGTGGACATTTTTAGGCTTGCATTGTGTCTGCACTTTCCACATTGATTTTAATTGTCTGATAGTAAATTCTCCAATCTAGAAAACTTTTGTGATGCTTTTACAACAGGTTTAAAGAGTGGTGTTGTGACACTCAAAGATCACCCAGATTTAAAATTTGGCTTATTATATTGCTGTTAATTAAAAAAATCCTGTCTGCTAATGTTAATGCAGAATCATCCATGGTTGATTTGTTCTAGGGGAAAAGTCTATAAGCAAACAATTTCATGTTTTATAAAATGTATGAAATTTTATATATGAGAAAATGCAATGTTCTTGTATTAAAACTTGTTTATATATCATATTTCAATATACTAGAAATGAACCCAGCTCCCCAAGGTGTCAGCCATGCATTAATTGTGGAACTTCTCCTCCAACCAGGTCCAGAGTGCTCCTGTCTCATCTCTCCCTGTTATACTCTACAGCTATGAGCAGAAAGACGTTTCTCAGAGCAGAGGCTGCATTAAGATTAGTAGAAGGACATACTTCCAAATAGTGCTATTTTCAGTGACAATGACAGGATGTGTCAAATGAAAGACTCTGGGCATAGACACACTCTAGTTTGATTTCTTATTTAAGAAATGGATACTTACTCACCTTGACACCATGAGTAAATAATACTTTTCTTAGACTCTCAATTTTCTCATCTAACTCATGATAATCATACTCTTCATTTTGCTATTTTGTTGAGAGAATAAAAGTAAATGTCTTTTATGTAAATTCATAGAAACTGGAACCTCTTGATCTCCTCTTATTCTAGAAGCTTCTTTACCAATTAAAAAAAATAATAAATGTGCCTTACTGTCTTCTAGAGATAGAGATGATAGCATAGAAAATGTAGGAATAATCTCACTGAAGAATAAAGTACACCACATGAAAACGCTGGCACTGGGAAAAGTCTGAATGAAATGTCTTTGCCTTTCAAAGTTTTATTGACAAACTGATTATTATCACATCAAAAACCTTTTTGGAATCTTTCTAATTGGCTTCTGTTTTTTTTGTAAAAAAAAAAAAAAAAAAAAAAAGCTTCAGTCCTTGTATTTGCTCTTTAAGTCTTTGCCCTATCTCTCTTTCTCTAGTTTTTCAGACTGCTCCCTGGAGGCTGATTTCTGGAATCTTAGGAGCAGTATGTCTTTTACTGATGGTTGTCCTGGGAATCCTATTGAATAATTGTAAGTTTCTGCAGGCAAATACTTAATGAAGATCAAAACTGTGATAAACCATTTAGTAATAAAGATTCAATTTACTAATATATAATATTTTATTGTCTCATAGATTCACTTAGATTTGTACCTAATTAAGCAAATTTCTAATCATTTCTTATAGTATTTAGTAAACAAAGTATTCAGCCAACATCATCTCCAAGACCCACCGTAGTACTCCAGGAAGGTAGGTTCCATACCTTGGAAACCTTTATTGTTGGTAGAAAAAATAAGTAATTTCAGACAATATACAGGAAATATTACAGATAGTCATACAGCTTCTTGAGTTGTAGGATAAAATCGTTTGGCTAAATTACATTGAGTGTGCACCACTTACATGTTTAAGTAATTAAGAATGTTAGTTTAAAATGACAGACTTTTTTTTCTTGTATGTATGCTCATTGTTAAGCAACAAATTAGAAATAAACCACAGTAAATATTACAGCTAATCTTGATTAGCTGCCGTGTTTACTCATAACCCATACTTTCCTATCTCTTTACAATTGTTTCTGCTGAGACTTATGTTTCAGAATTCAGTGTTTACATTTCTGTAATTCTATATCCTACTTATCCAGTGCAAGCCAGCACAAAGTTCAATATTTAAATGTTTTCTTTTCATATGCTTACCACCTGTTATAGCATCCTGATAGTATTTTATCCCAACAACTCAAGAACCATTCATTTGTGAACATTTGAAAGCCTACCTTGTTTTGTAGGAGCTCTGGTGGTGTAGTGCCTAAGGCACTTCACTGCTAACCAGAAGGTTGGAGGTTCAAACCCACCAGCTTCTCCTTGGAAGGAAGAATGGGGAATCTACTTGCATAGAGATATCGCCTTGGAAATCCAAGGAAGGGTTGCTATGAGTTGAAGATGACACGATGGCACATAACAACAACAACAACAACAACAACCTTGTTTCATGACTTTTATCTCTGAGAATAAAACACTGTAAAGACACTCTTACTGATAAACTGTTATCAAATGTCAAGCCAATCGCTTTATTTATCTTCATTTTTGAAAAAATGAATTGACATTGAGTTGATTCCTACCCATAGTGACTCAATAGGACAAAGTTGAACTGCCCCCAAGGGTTGCCAAGGCTGTAATCTTTATAGAAGCCAACCACCATATCTTTCTCCAGTGGGGAGTGGCTGGTGGATTCGAAGCACTGACCTTTTGGTTGGCAGCTGAGCGTTCTAACCATTGTGCTGCCAGAATTGTATCAATGCACTGTAGTTTTTCTAGGTCAGGAAATATGTTAAAATGGTTTTCCCACTTAAATATTTCTTTACTCTGTCTACACTTAAATCCTGTTCACACTGCACAGTTCGACTTTGAGGTCACTTCTTAACTTTCTAACTTTCCACATTTCATGTTCTGCTATGTGCTGTTTTAATATAATGGATTTATTTTGTGTATTTGCTAAACTTATCATTACATGATAATTTATAAATGATTGGATATTATACAATTCTGACTCTAACTCTAGAATATAACCTCTATGAGGAAACAGGTCATTTCACGTTAACATAACACACTGTGATGTAAAATAAACATATATAGTAGATTCTCAAAGAATTTTTTAAGAAAATATCAGTAAATAACAAATGAGTTTTGAATGAGTAGCATAGAAATTTTTAAGTGTTAAGTGCCATCAGTTAATGTTTTGTTTTTTCTCTTAGTCTCTGACTGCTGTTCTTGTCCAGAAAAGTGGATTAGGTACCAATGCAACTGTTACTTCATTTTTAATAAAGGAAAAACTTGGGCAGAAAGCAGGAATTCCTGTGTTTCTCTGAATTCCAGTCTACTTCATCTAGAAAGCAGAGATGAAATGGCATGTACTTTATTTTGGTTTTCCACATTTTGTTTGACTAAAAAATATAGCGGGAGCTCTGGTAGCATAGTGGCTAAGGCACTTGACTGCTAACCAGAAGGCTGGCGGTTCAAACCCACCAGCCACTCCTCGGAAGGAAGGTTGGGCAATCCTACTTCCGTAGTGATACTGCCTCGGAAACCCAAGGAGGGGTCGCTATGAGTCGGGGCCGACTCGACGGCACACAACAACAACAACAAAAAATATAGCATCGAAATTAGCTGAACACTTTGACTCAAGTCTTTAATCAGATAGTATATGGCTGGACAGATTTTGTCAAATATAAACAACTCCGAACACCATTAACCAATTGCTATGCAGGTTTAATAGTGAGTTCGCAAATTGAGTAATACATCACTTACGAGTAAATGAATGTCCCAATTAACAAAAATTTCAAAGTGCTTATATACAATTTTATTAGTAACTCTTAACAAAAAATCTTTGATATTAACAATTATACCAGAATATATGAATTTTATAAGAAAGCTGTTTTTCGTGAAAGATTACTAAAATGTAAATAGAAATCTTGCTAAAACAATCACATCAGTGAACCATGGTTTTAAGACCCGTGGCGCCTGGCAAACATGACACGCTCGTTAATCTTCAGGCATTTCAGTGAGCCTGATCACCTACATCCATTATGTGAAACAATATAAGCTACTTCTTAAGGTTACAGTTTAAGGCATAGCTGTACCAAACAAACAAACAAACAACCCACTGCCCAGTAGATTCTGACTCATAGACCCTATAGGACAAAGTAGAACTGCCCGATACAGTTTCCAAAGTTTGAAATCTTCAAGGCAGCAGACTGCATCATCTTTCTCTCACGAAGCAGCTGATGGGTTAAACCACTGACTTTTTGCTTAGCAGTGGAGGCCTTAGCCAATGCTTCACCAAAGCTCCTTAAAGCATAGCTATAAACGTTATACCATTAAACATTATGTATATTTACAATTATACAGCACATAGGTTTCTAACATTTAATAAGATGACCTGCAGTATCGTGGGCAAGAGAACTCTCTCTGTTCTTTTAAGTAAAACCTGTCATTTTATTTCACAATTCGAACAAATGATCTATTAATTCCCTGTACTTTGAAACAGTCATTATAAACCCTATAAAAGTCCTCCAAGATATACATCACTGGGACAAAAATAAAGATGTTAGACAAAGTCAAGAAACTTTTCAGTTAGAACTAAAAGAAGAAGTGCTAGATCACTATTTTTATTCATTTTATTCAAGGAGCCCACCAAATGACTTTGTTAATTTTCAGTTCTTTTAATACACTTTATACTTTCTTTTGTAATTATGTAATTTTTTTCATGTCTCTGGAATATATTGTGGAACTAATATAGAGCCTGCTAAATGGCGCAAAAGTTTTGCACTCAACTGCGAATCTAAAGTTTGGTGATTCTAACCCACCCATGGTGGAAGAAAGGCCTGCCAATCTGCTTCTGTCAAGATTTTTTGTTGTTATTTGCCATCAAGTGGGACCTGACTTACTGTGACCCCTTCTTGGGTTTCCGAGGCAG